GGGGGGGGGGGGGGGGGGGGGGGGGAACTTTGCAACCAGATGGAAGAAATGTGGATTTTCTTCAAATCTAATGAATATCTGGAACAGATTCATGAAATACAAGAGGACAAAATAACGTAGCAAAGTTTCTTCATGAAAGTCAAACTAATGCCTTAAAAAGTATAGGAAGATAGTTGGATACTTTAGAGAAATAGAAAACAAGAACGAGAAAACCATCATTTAAGAAAGCATGAGATCCAATATACAAAATTGCAGTAAAACTGTCAAAACTAAAGAACATTAATTAATTTGGTTTGCAAGCCAAACATTTGTTCCGAACTTGAAGGAATTAAAAGAGAATAATTTCAGTATCCTGTCTCAAACCGACTCAAACTTTTTCATTCAGGATTTCTAACGTTTTCCCAAATTCATCCTACTATAGATCTTCTGTCTACACAAATTTACACGCAAAACGTCCAGAGAGAGACCACTCAGAAGACATGAAACAACAACAAAATAAGATCATAAAGACATACCATTTCTAGAAAGTGGATCAATTGCAAGGGACCCAAAGACTGGCGCTTCTAGATCATAGTGCCACAAAGTACTGAAAGGAAAAGCCTGCAGTAATTAAGACGAGGAACTATTCAACCAAAAGCTATATGGCTTTGGAATCGTTACATAGTATATTGGAGACAGCTTAGGCTTCTCTAACTTCCATAACATTTTGGAGAGGGAAGGAGATGAAATATATAAAAAATGGAACTAAGCACTCAATTGAAAGTCCCTCGGCGTGGAGAAGGAAAGAGAGGAATTTATCGTAACCCATCAAGTAATGTCATTTCCTTCTCAATTTATATCGTTCTCATGTAATCTTAACTTTCAAAGGTTTAAGAGTTGTGGTGGGAAAGGTGTTAGGAACATAGAAAGTAACTAGAGAGATTAGTTCCTGAAGATATAGATATGCAATGGTAGTTGTCTCATTGTCTCCCAGTCTGTGTATTAAGAAACTGGATCTGCAGAAGATAGTTTCTCCTCACTGTCCCA